CCGAGGCAAACCTGCATTGGGGCTGCACAGAAATCGTACGGAGGTCTTACGGAGAGGGTGCGGTTTCCGCAGCTAACCCGTGCGATGGCCGTGCGGATATCCCACGACCCTACGATCGCCGTAGGCTTTTTTGGAACTACGAAAACGTGCGTTTACCGCACGATCACCGTGCGATGCCACCTACGGGCTTACGATTTTTTCAAATTTGTCACACTTCGCTGTTTGACAAAATCGTAGAGGCTACGGTGCCCGTAGAATCGTGCGATAATCGTACGGACACCGCCTACCGCCGCACGGCGACCGCACGGAAATGGAGCTACGGGCAGTAGACCCATCCAGGCCAAATGTGAACCAGGCATGAGCAACAATTCCTGTTTTGTCAGCACTACACACGTGGCAAGTGTTTGTTTGTTGATTAACACCGCACACAGCAACGTTCCAGCTTTATGACCACAATCTGTAAATAATGGAATCTGGACCAAAAACAATCCAGTGGTTGACATAATGAGTACCGACATGAATACCGAGAATGAGATATATTCTATTTGTATCCTTTGACCAAACTAGAATAATCAGCTTTACAGCTTGTCTTGCTAAAGGTTTTTCAATGTCGTCACGTAATTTCATGATAGGGATTGCGTTCGAGTCATGGGGGTTGCAATACATGATTGGATATCTGTCCTCGAATGGGATCGAATCCCGCTCATAAGGATTTTGAGTTTTGTGTGTTATTTGTTTTCTTCAAGGATCTGAATTATAAATAGAGAATACTAAACGATGTCCCTTGTAATACCATAATTATGAAACGAGTGAATGGTTTGGTATCTAATTTTTTTCTCACCCAACATTAGCAAAATAATATCGAGCAAGATAAGAGCATGCTTGTCGTAAGAAGCGATTGCGGGATCGGGAGGACAGGCTCACTGACTCATATCATATACCAATTGCGTAGATCGATGCTCATGATCACTGTATTGTCTGGTCCAAACTCGATTATTTATAGACCGCGGCCACATAGATGGAATAATGCTCAGTACGGCGTTAAACAACAAACCTACCAACTGGTCACTATACACGATGTACACAATGAACATGGATCATGGTTTTAAACACCAAAGTGAGTGAGTGAGTTTACTTTAGTTTATGTTTAGTTATGCAAAAAAGTTGCACAATGTTGGTTGGCTTCTTGTGGTTTAACGCCACTCAGCAATATTCCAGCTCTATGGCGGCGGTCTGGACAAAAAATCGAGTCCGGACCAAACAATCCAGTGATCAACAGCATGAATACTGAATCTACGCAATTGGGATACGGTGAAACATGTCAACCAAGTCAACGAGCCTGACCAACCGATCTCGTTAGTCGCCATACATTAACATAGACTTAAAGTAGTCTTAGGGCTAAGGTTGTTTTGTACCTCTTAGCTGGGTTATGTAGCACCTTACCCGAACGGTAATGTCGTGACTTGCTCTAGACTCCATTACGACGTTTCTGATAGTGTTGACATTTACAATATTGAGTTTACACGCTAACGGTTATCAGTTGATAAGACATCATGCAACATACCCATCTTCAAAAGGGCTAATCAATCTTAATGCTTAACTTCGTTCCGCTCCAGAGTGCTGACTGCGTGTCTCAATATACATCCAAGACATATCGTGTCTAATGTGAAAGGCTGACACACGCTATTATTTCCCAGTACAAACAGTCAGCACACAATGGACGACCTTTGGATTTACACCCCTTTTAATAATAGTACAACAGTATCGGCAGAGAACACTAGAAATGGGCACACATTGTACTGATGGGTAGAACCGAACCTGACGCTGAAACCACTAGTCAACCCTCTAGGAAATGCCGAATTCTTTCACAAATCTGAAGTGACTGAAGAAAGCGCACATAAAATACCGCCGAAGTTGCTATTTATTTTTTAGTACAGCATTCTATTACAGCTTGGTACACGGTATCCCTCGCCGTGATGTTGCTGGAATGTTGCTAAAATCGATGTAAAACCTAAATCACTCACTCACCTGATACCTTTTAGGTCTGCCAAACTTACTTTTGATACCCAGAATTTAACGGTTTAATTCGCCTGATTGTGTTTGTATACGATAGGAATTAGATTATGCTGTTTGTATCCTTTGACCTAGAATAATCAGTTTTAGAGTTTGTCATCTCATATTAAAAGGTTTTCAATGTTGTCACGTAATTTCACGATAGGGATTGCGTTCGAGTCATGGGTGTAATAATAGAGGATTGGATGTCTGTCCTCGAATGGGATCGATTCCCTGAATCCCGCTCATAAGGTTTTGCATGTTGTATGTTTTCTTCAAGGATCTGAATTATAATAGGCGTTAAACAATAAACAACAAAATTCACTAAACAACATTTTCTGGGTCTTCAACCTGACGAGCGTACGCTGAAACCACTTGTCTTCCCTCAAGAAAAATGCAGTGACTGAATAAAGCGCACATAAAATACCACCGTGGTTGCTTGTACAGCATTTTGTGACAGCTTGTATATATACTAAAGGGAAAAAAGTAACTGTTAAAAACACGTTAATCTCAACCTAAACTGCGCGTACGTCATGGCACGGGTTACAGAAAAAAACATTATTAGTGTCTCCACACCGTGGATATGCTAGAGGCTGTAATGGCCCAAAATGAAGTGACTAGACATGTTGGTGTCCATCGAAACACTATCTCATTTCTATGGAGACATTTTCAACATAATGAGAACATGAGAAATTTGCCTAGGACCGGGCGTCCACGTGTGACGTCACGTCAGAAAGACAACCACATTCGGCTGACCCATCTAAGGAATCGATTCCAGACTGACAGTTTGATTGCTCGGACCAATCCTGGCTTAAGTCCAATCAGTTCCAGGACTGAGCGGAACCGACTGAAGGAGGACAACATGCGGCCCCGGCGGCCTGCAATACGTCTAATGTTGCTCCAACGTCACCAACAGGTACGTCTTGCCTGGTGCAGACAGCATTTGCGGTACAGGAGACACCATTGGGATGGTGTTTTGTTCACTGACGAGTCGATGAAATGGAGCGACCATTACGTCAAGCAAGGAAGCGTTATTTCAAACATGGAACAACATTCCCCAAGCTTTCTTCAATTGCTTAGTGTCGTCGTTGTCAAGCCTGCATCAACGCCAACGGTGGACACATACGATGCTGAATTTGTGAACTGAGTTTTGACACCACATCACTTCAAGGGCGTGTCACGATGCCTAGTGTCAAATCATATATATTTCGATATTATCCTGTCAATATAGTTAAACAGTGATTAAGGAAAACACCACAAATCATGTTAAATCTTTTTGTATTAAAATATGGCATAACATCAAATACGCATCACAGCATCTCAGGTTGAAGTTTCCACTTAGAGTCACGGAATTGTACGGATCAGCGAGCATACTTTCAGGAGCATTAGAATTTTTATCAGAAAACATTATGGAATAATGACGTTGCATTCATATTTTGCCCACATTCCTTGTATAGTACCATTCATTCAAGAACTCCACTCGAACATATAATATTCCTACTTATATTCGCTTCGTGTGAGTAGGCAAGGCAAGACTACCAGTTGTCCGACTTCCATTTTGGTGGAAGCCGCGGTGGCTGAGCGGTCTAGGCGTCTGACTTTGTTTGCTGGCGATTAGGTGCCTGACTCTGAGGGTGCGGGTTCGAATCCCGGATGGGACTCAACCCCAAAAGTACTAGAATCTGTACATGTACTTTACTAAGAAAGTGAAATCCCAAATATAACATATGTTCCGTTTCACCAAAGTGGCTGATTTCCCAGGATAAGCTTCACTTCATGGGACTCAATTAAGTACTGTTAAGTGTTGGTTTCTCAAAAACTGAAACCCAACTTAGTCACTCAGTGGTGTACTTTGAGGTAAAGTTTTGGTTTCTTTGAGTTGCATTTAGCAGATGGTATGATGAGCAGGGACGATTTATGTTATGGATAGACAACTTGCTTGTTAACGGTGTTAGCATCTACCCCGAAACGTCACATCCATTGCAATAAGAAGTTGTCTATCCATAACATACATCGTACCTGTTCATCATACCAGTTTCTGAATGCCACTCAAAGAAACCAAACCTTTACCTTCAAAGGTTTGGTTGCCCAGTAATCTCCACTTGCTCATGATATCTTACGCTATACGAAAGCATTGTGTTTATTGGTTCCCAAGATTACAATGTAATATGTACAAAACTGTGGTACATACAAATAAATGATGTACAGGTATTATGTCAATATCATGTTAATAAATGAGTGAGTGAATGAGTTTAGTTTGAAGCCACACTCAGCAATATTCCCGCTATATGGCGGCGGTCTGTAAATACTCGAGTCTGGATCAGACAATCCAGTGATCAACAGCATGAGCATCGATCTGCGCAATTGGGAACCGATGACATGTGTCAACCAAGTCAGCGAGCCTGACCAACCGATCCCGTTAGTCGCCTCTTACGACAAGCATGGGTTACTAAAGGCCAATATTCTAACCCGGACCTTCACGGGTGTCATATTAATAAAAAAATAAAATAAAAATAAAAAAGTAAATAAAACCGTTTAATCATAAATGGGTCTTTCTCTTCCCATAAACATATATCAGTCAATAAAAGAGAAAGATGATGTCAGGTATGTTTAGATAGATTTTAAAGTCATCAAAGTACTGGGAAGAGAAGGACCCATTTATGATTAAAATGTTTTATTTTATTTATTTTTTGTGTGTGTGCATATATGAGGGGTTTTTTTATAAATAAATTTGGATGCATATTCTTAATACTGCATATGCAAATATGTCTTTTTTGCCGCAATGATGATGCGATTTAGTAATATATTTCGATGTAGAGTACCAAACCAAACCATATGTTTTGATAATAGCGATGGACGAGGGTATAAATTGTTCAGCCAGTTTTGTAAGTTTTCCAAAAGATTTGTGTGTCTCCTGACATTCCCAGTACACATGACAAAAACAGTAGTTATCTGCACAGCCAAATGTTTATTTCTTGACAGTGACCCAAATACTGATAGGATGAGGAAGCATGGTCCCTAAAACAAGAAAACAGTTCTTTTGACCCAGGGATGGTACCAGGGAACTATACCACATGGTGACATTATGTACATCAGCTTCTGGAACTAGAAGATGTTATCCCCAGTTCTGGATTGTTCTGTCCTTGACAAAGTTTCCTCTAGGAGAGGTGGTGTTTTGGGGAAGGAGAGCCAGGTAAACCAGGGTGTCAGCACCTGGAAGAACACGTCACAATAGGTAGAAGCAGAATGTCAACTTGTATTGGTAACAAGAAGGTGGAGTACCAGAGGTACAGAAGCTCACCTTTATTCTATGATGTATTTGTGACAATAATACGTATTTGTCTACCACATCACAGTTTCTCTTTCTTGTATCAATAAAATATGTATGTATCCCTTACATAATATATAAATGTTAAATAAACGTACATATATTGATCTTAACAGAATGTGTGCTGGTATAAAATGTAAGTTGTTCCAACACTGGTATGGTTGGTTGGTTTGGTGTTTAACGCCACGCTCAGCAATATTCCAGCTATATGGCGGCGAGTCTGGACCAGATAATCCAGTGATCAACAGCATGAGCATTGATCTATGCAACTGGGATACAAGTCAGCGAACCAGACCACCCGATCTCGTTAGTCGCCTCTTACGACAAGTATGGGTTACTGATGACCGATTCTAACCCGGATCTTCACGGATCCGTACTGGTATGAATCTGAGGCAAATTTGAAAGAAGCAATTGTTTGATAAACTGCAGTCTTCCGTCATACAAAAACATACAGTGAAGGTTTAGAAGAGAGTAATTCTGGACAATTTATCATTAAAATCAAATGAAGTGTTCTTTGTTGTTATAGTTTCGACTGACCTTGACCTTCATCAATCGAGAACCCTCACAATAATCATGGACATAACACTTTATGAGATGTTATTTATATATCTATTAATGACAAGCTTTTTGGAATATCTACTCTACACGTACGTCTTGGCCGTCATCTCACCCTGTTACATGTTATTAGGATTGTTATTTATTTTTTAATGTAAGAATCCATAATTACATAAAAAGTTTAAGCCATGATTCAAAATTGCTCGTGACCTTGACCTCATATTGAGGGCACCGAAAAGTTGATGGAAAATGTGTTTTAGAGATAATCCATCCCCAATGCCATTCATCAATACACAATGACTTTTTTATACTGAGTTCAAGGCTAGTTACCATGACATTCAGTGTTATCAAATCATATGTCAGAACATATCCCCGGGTATAAACAGGAGTAGCCTTGCTCCAAGGCTGTACTGAATGCTGAGCCCATGTATGTATAGTAATTCTATCCTTCCAAGAGGCAAGTCTAGATAAGCTCCCCTACACATTCTCTGGATGTTGTCACCATCGGCCTTTCCATTTCTGATTAATAATGACCGCTGACAGCTCGGAACGTTAGTTCCCAAGTTCAAAATGGCAAATCGAGATCTTCTGCTTGGTTTCATTTGCTTTTTAGGCGTTCTAATTTAGTTTTAATTGCTTGATTTTCTTTGTGACACTTTCTACACACTATATGGTGTTCAGTTCTGAACAGAAACCAATACCTAAGAGAAAACCAGTCTCCATCTTTTCCCTACCTCTGAAAAATTTCTTCCATAGCTTTCAACAGGTAATACTGACACTGTTCTTTGTTCTTGGAGATATAATCCAAGATTTGGTTGGTGTTCTAACACTAAAATATGAATGAAATCTGTCTTCAGAATTTTCCTCCTGTATGACATGAAAACATTAATCTACACTAATTTTCCTTTGAGGTTTCTGCAAATTTCCATAATTGATCCATTAGAAATTACACTTTTAATTTTGTAAAGGCAAAATCAACACCGTAACAAGACTCAGACTACTGTGCGTGAACCGATGACATGTGTCAACCAAGTGATGGGTTCCTGAAGTTTGTGGACATTTTAACCTGAGTTGATTCATCAGGTTTGAAGATGACATCGCTGATGATTGTTTGCTAAGTCAAGCATATTTCACCAACAGCAGGGCAAGTTACATGTTACTGGGCATCGTGGTTGATGAAGCTATAGGTTATGTTTGATAAATGTTTGTACAAATGTCACCTTCATCGATGGTCTTCGTTCCTTTGTGGCTGGTCATGTCAGTTGCGACATATCCAGGAGTGCACTGAAAATTATCATCATCATCATCATCATCATCACCGTGATGCCCAATTAACATAACATCATCTGTTTGTCTATTTACTGTTAATAATAATCATCTGGGTTAGAACAGACAGGTTTGTGTAAAGTTCTTGAATATTTTGTGCTTCTAATAATGACGGATTTATTTGCTGTGCTGTTGATGCTACTGTGTGTTTCCAGCTGAACATCTGTCGTGGTATAATGGTTAACGGGAATCCGTTATCTAAAACATCGAGCAAGGCGCTCACCGCATTTATGACGATGTCCTCTCTGGAGTCCTTCCTGATGTCTCTGTCCTGGATGAAGGACATCACCGTGACCCCGATCTTGGACATCCCGTAGGCCATGTCGGTGAACCCCTGGTCCTTGTGATTGCCCGCCTTAGCAGCACTGGAAATATAGATGTAGGTTTGAATGGTTGGATAGATGGTCTGTAAATAATCGATTCTGGACCAGACAATCCAGTGATCAACCACCGATCTCCGCAAGTCGGAATACGACGCCATGTGTGAACCAAGTCAGCAAGCCTGACCACCCGATCCCGTTAGTAACCACTTGCGAGAAGCATCATTTGCTGCTGGATCTTCACGGTAAGATCCCAGCGTGTGGCTTTGCATGGACTGTAGGAAAACCCCACTTATCCGGACCCCATATATCTGGAAACCTCGCTAAACGGACGGTATTTACGTGAAACAAAATACTTCATAAAATGCTTCCATTACCCAGAAATCTGTTTTGTGGAGTCGCACAGTGTTGTAATTATCGGGGTAGTCCCGTAAGTTCGATCTTTGGGTCGAGGTGAAAATGCTTTGATGTTTGATGTTGTGACAACAGTGTTGTATTAAGGGATTATGACACTGGCATTCTACAAAATGTGAAATGTGTTCACTCAGGAAACGAAATATGGCATGTGTACAAGAGAGTGAGTGAATCTCACTCAATGAGTTTGATTATGTTGCTTACTGGTGAGTTATTCAATTTCTGACATAAACGCTATAAGTAGAAGACGTCTGACGGGATGTCTTGGCGGATATGCCTCAAGAGCAGAGAGTGAATCAGGTGGCTGACTACGTCACATCCCAGTGGATTGAAGGGGACCTGGAAATAGGCAGCTGGTACCATTTCAACACTGACGTTCCTCGAACGAACAGCAACCTCGAGGGTTGGCATGGACGTCTGAAGAAGGTGGTGGGAAAACAGCATCCCAACTTCTTCGAGATGGCCAAGTTCTTGGCAGACGAACAGGGTCTGAATGAGGCCAAGATGCTTCAATATAATGCCGGCAAAAGACTGCCCCCCAAGAAGAAGAAATACAGAGATTTTGAGCGACGATTGGACACACTAAAGTTCAAGCTTGCAAGAAACGACCGGACACTCATACAGTACCTAGACGATGCCTCCTATTCTGTTAAGTTCTTAAGCTCGTGATTCTTGGTTCGGTTAAATTCTAGTGCTATGAACTATATATGTAAAACATGTCAAATTATATTATGTATTGTATATTATTTTATTTAAAGACGACTGTCAACTTTATATATGTAACACATGTAAACTTATGTTATGTATCAACTTTATTTATATGTATAACAATTACTGCACCAATGAATGCACAAATAATAATGACATTTTGCAACATGATCCTTGTTCAGTTATGATCCGGTGAACATTTTAGCATTAACTGTTTTGTTGTGAAAACATTGACTGCCCATTGTCTAAAACTAGTCGACCTAAACGCCATACCCCTCCAAACCGACCAGTTTGTTTATACACGCATCCAAGGTCGAACTTACGGAACCTTACCTCATTATCAGCAGTGCAACATTTAGAGAATAACCAACTCGGTACGAGTGATTACGGGAAATATGCCCGAGTTGAAATAATGTTCACAGTGCCGAGCCTTGGCGAGGCACTGAACATTATTTTAACGAGGGCATATTTCCCGTAATCACTGTACCGAGTTGGTTATTCTATTTATTACCCATAATGTAATTTAGTAAAAGGAAGAACCACGAAATAAAACCACCCGGAGACAGGACTTGTGACCTTAAACAGCTGATTCGTATTCATGCGCGTATTAAACCTAACTTCTCCAGCGGTAATAACATAACTTCAAGCTATGGAAATAGTACATCATAAAAATCGCTTTAAAATACAAACAAAATTATTATGCCTGGAATAATTAATTAACGGTTGTTAATATGATAAAAATGATCTTTTAAATATATCATTGAACTTAATAAGAGCTAAACATTTATTCGATCAAGTCAGTGCGACGGAACATCGTTCATTCACGACTGACGTGTTTTCTAGTGACGGGTGACGGTGTAGTGTTGAAACACACTCTGGCAAAAACCTGTCAATTTTTGGGAAAGTCAACGGTTAAAAGTTGGGAAATCTAAAAGACAACCATCCCACGAATACATATAGAAAAGGTTTTCTGTCAAGAAACTCGACAAGTTTGAAGATTAAACAACATTTTGTTCTGTGGAAGGCGTGTTACACTCTCGTCTTAGTAGAGTACAGCAGTTCCAAGAAGGATAACTCTAGTCGGAATCCGAGTCTATGAAATGTGTCAATCTCTGCATCGGCTACTGGGACCAACCTCTCGGATTGATTAGGAATGCATGGATATAAAAAGTCATCTTGAAGAACATTTAGCACTGATTCCGGTAAGAAAGGAGCTGTTTTCTGGTTCGATGGCATGGACGCCGTGTCCGACTTACTTGTTACACTTTCAGATAACATCTTTAGTCGGTATCTTGCTGTTTCTATTTCCCCGAATTCAGTTTCAACAACAAACATGTTTTGGGAATTTAAGGGCTGTAAAATTCTTATCACTCTTCCTATTTGGTCACCGTCAACTTTAACTAGGTAAGTGACCTTGATCGGGGTTAGCCTAACGGCGGCCATGTTTGTTTACAAACAATGCAAACGATTGTTTTGGTGGGTTTTTTAAAGATTATATAATTTAAAAAGACTACTATTAATAACGCAGTTTTATTCCAAAATAATAATGTCTAATAAAAAGAATATTCATATTCTTTAACCTTAATGGGTTTTTTTTAGATCTCGGAATGTGTGATTACATTACATAATGTCAATTTATCAATAATTCGATGAAACTTCATATTCTTTAACCTTAATGAATGAACTTTATGAATGAACGTAGTGTGTGAAAGTAGTTCCGGCATCCAATGAAAATGTACAAATATACGATCAACCAATCAACGTCGAGAATCACTAAATTGCACATTGTGCAAATATCAAAAAGATATTACACGGGATCTCCTCACCCGTATGGGTAATAAACACAAATGTCTGACAGTGTCCACGCTTGACGATGTTTGTTTTGCTATTCTTGATCCGGCATGCAACATCAAAGGGAAGGTATCGAAAGGTTGATATAATCATGTTATTACATATATTTGATATAAAAATGTTCATCGTTTTTCTTACGTTTGCAATCTGTTATCTTGTATTTGTTACTTATTAATGGTTACAGTTACATAATTACGTTATCGTGGTTAATATCTATTTCAAATATATATTCTAAATGCTGAAACTAAATTAACACGATATTGAATTATATTAATTTTGATATAATTTATTTGTACAGTTTATTGCATTAACATTCTGTGTGTTTTATTGCTTTACAGGAAATTACATGTATACGGTATTTTTATCATGCAAATATTAAAAATGGAAAGCAATGTAGGAAATTCAATTTAATATCTTTTCTCGCGATGTGTTATCTCAATTTTACGTTTGCATCGACCTGGTTTGTTTTCATTCATTCGTTCACCTGAAAGGACACAATGCCACTGTTGAACTTACACACAATACTGATGTGAAGCGGTATACAACTACCCGTGAAGATACTCCGGGCTAGAATTGATCTTCAGTTACCCTTGTCGTAAGAGGCGACTAACGGGATTGGGTGGTCAGGCTCGCTGACTTGGCTAACACATGTCATCGTATCCCAATTGTGTAGATCGATGTTCGTGCTGTTGATCACTGGATTGTCTGGTCCAGCCTCGATTGTTTACAGACCGCCGCCATATAGCTGGAATATTGCTGAGTGCGGTGTTAAACAACAAACCAACCAAACAACATTCTGCAACTTGTTTCGCCTTTGAAAATTTGCGAAGGGGAGGTTACTTTTAGGAGATTCAGATATCCGGATATTCATTTATCCGGTCAACATGGGGAAACGCTTGCGTCTGAATAAGCAACGTTTTTGTGTTACACGTGAACTGAGTTTGTTTTTCATGGACCGTAGTGTTTGTGTGACCTGACTGAATCGTAGTGACTGTTCTGTTGGACCCTAGTGTTGTGTGATCTGACTGAATCGTAGTGACTGTTATGCATGGACCCTAGTGTTTGTGTGACCTGACTGAATCGTAGTGACTGTTCTGTTGGACCCTAGTGTTGTGTGATCTGACTGAATCGTAGTGACTGTTATGCATGGACCCTAGTGTTTGTGTGACCTGACTGAATCGTAGTGACTGTTCTGTTGGACCCTAGTGTTTGTGTGATCTGACTGAATCGTAGTGACTGTTCTTCATGGACCGTAGTGTTTGTGTGACCTGATTGAATCGTAGTGACTGTTCTGTTGGACCCTAGTGTTTGTGTGATCTGACTGAATCGTAGGGACTGTTCTTCATGGACCGTAGTGTTTGTGTGATCTGACTGAATCGTAGTGACCGTTCTGCCCGGACCGTAGTGTTTGTGTGATCTGATTGAATCGTAGTGACTGTTCTGCATGGACCGTAGTGTTAGTGTGACCTGATTGAATCGTAGTGACAGTTCTGTTGGACCCTAGTGTTTGTGTGATCTGACTGAATCGTAGGGACTGTTCTTCATGGACCGTAGTGTTTGTGTGACCTGATTAAATCGTAGTGACTGTTATGCATGGACCGTAGTGTTAGTGTGACCTGATTGAATCGTAGTGACTGTTATGCATGGACCGTAGTGTTTGTGTGACCTGATTGAATCGTAGTGACTGATTCTGCATGGACCGTAGTGTTTGTGTGATCTGATTGAATCGTAGTGACTGTTATGCATGGACCGTAGTGTTTGTGTGACCTGATTGAATCGTAGTGACTGTTATGAATGGACCGTAGTGTTTGTGTGACCTGATTGAATCATAGTGACTGTTCTGCATGGACCGTAGTGTTTGTGTGACCTGATTGAATCGTAGTGACCGTTCTCCCCGGACCACGGTAGTGTTTGTGTGATCTGATTGAATCGTAGTGACTGTTATGCATGGACCGTAGTGTTAGTGTGACCTGATTGAATCGTAGTGACTGTTATGCATGGACCGTAGTGTTTGTGTGATCTGATTGAATCGTAGTGACTGTTATGCATGGACCCTAGTGTTTGTGTGATCT